CTGCAACAAGCGAGCTCCCCTCTTCGCCAAAAATAACACAACCATATGCCGATGTCGAGCCACCCGCAAAATTGATGAGGAACCACCCCCCATGGAGGTATTAAGGACTCCAGACCTTCGAAGCCCAACATCATCCACCTTTCACATCAGAACCCGAAAGAAGACCACACAACTTACATATATACATATAAATACATATGAATACATGTATATACATATAAATACATATGAATACATGTGCTGATACATGTGTATATATATATATATGTATACATATGAATGAACTGAAAGACCGGCAAATCAGAGCTCAAGAAACACACTCCCGCTCAATCCAAACACTCGACGCCACCTCGCGTTCGTAAGGCCCCGGGGTCGGTGTGCCGCCGGTGTCGGGTGGCGGAGACTGGGCCGGAGTGTAGGCCTGGCAAGCTGAAAAACCCCTTACCCACAAGATTGGAATTGGGATTTGGGGCATTGTGATGAAAGGGGATTTGGGGAAATGTGATAGTACAAATCTGAAACGGGGACTTCCAGGGTAATTATCTGGCTGCTGTCAGACATTTCAGATTCTACTGAAAGCGCCAACACTTGTTGCATCTGATGCCACTTTGCCGCGCTTATGTTCTATAGCACGCGTGGCTAGGCCGTCACATGCGCACCAAGCTGGAAGAGTGTATGCGCGATTTTGTCAAGAACCACTTGATTACTGGACTGCCACACCCCTAATTAAGCAAATGAATATCAGACTGGGTGACGGCACTGGTTGCAAAGCAGTTCACGAGCAAAGTACTTGAGGTTTTTTCTGTAGGAACACAGCACAGTACGACGATCACCTGGATCTGGGGCAGATCGGAGACTCCACCAAAGGCACGTGAACAGCCCCGGGTGGAGACTCTACGATTTAAATTCATGCTTAGTAGGCATGGACATGACACAGAGTAACCCTTGCGGCTTCCCACATTCCGATGAGCAGTAATGCACATGAATACGGGCCCTTTCTGATTTTCAGCAGGGTTCGAGGGTTAATTACAGAATGGGAGTATACGGTCATAGTACTACTGCATATCTGCCCCCTCCTTGAACATCTACACTAAACAGACTAAACAGACGAGTTTGTGGAATCCCTGCATAGAATGTTTAGTGAACCCATTTAAATTTTCATAGAACCCCTAAACCCCTTAAGCCTAAACCCTAACCCCTAAACCTAAACCCCCAAACCCCTAAACCCTAAACCCCCAAACCCCTAAACCCCTAAACCCTAAACCCCTAACGCCTAAACCCCAAACTCTAACCCCTAAACCTTAAACCTTATGCTAAGATCCCTTTGGACACCTTGGGGTTCCGGGAACCCGTGGCCTCCGTCTCGTCTCTGTTTGCCCGCAGGGCGTCGTCGTCAAGATCCTGCACAGCCCGTTCGGAGCCATGAACGTTGAGAGTCTAGGTAGGGTTTAGGGTTTAAGGAGTTTAGGGTTTAGGGAGTTTAGGGGTTAGGGAGTTTGGGGTTTAGGATTTAGGGAGTTTAGGGTTTAGGGCTTAGGGAGTTTAGGGTTCCATAAGGCTGCAAGCGCTCAAACGGATTCTGGGTGCAAAGTACGTCTCCGCCGGCCTGATCCTGCTCTTCCAGGCACTGTTGTAGGAGTTCGTCTGCATCCCGCCTGATCAAGGTTCAGCAACTAATATAGGGGTCGTAATAATTGATTAGAATAGTGTTTTAATTGGGACCCATTATACTATATTGATAATAAGGAACCCCCAACATGATATAGGTACTTGTTTAGACCCCTATACTAGCCCGTTGACAGGACGATGCAAAGCTCCACTCCGACAAGCCCCCTGGTGTGAATGTGTGCGGCAAGTCTCTGCTTGTGACAAGTCGGCAAAGCATGGCATCTGGTGTACTGCAGCAAAGCTTCCCCTCGGCCACTGGGATACCTGCAGCAAGAGCGAAAGACAGCATCTTCGAGACACAAGTCACCATGGAAATTGCCACTGGGCTGTCAGAATCTTAAACCAAAGATGGTCAAGCTAATTATGCAACGAACGTCGCAATACACTCACGCGCACCAACTCCTCTGCGCATGTGGCTCGTGCACATCCTCGGACCTGAAGCCTGAATAGAACCTTTGTGAGCCCGAAATAAGCCCGTAAACCCCAAAGCCGTAAACAAAAGCCTCAGCAGAACCTTTGTGAGCCTGAGCCCGAAATGAAGAGTCTAAACCCTCAAAGCCTGAGCCCGCCCCAAAATCTGCGGCTCCTCCCGACGTGCCCGCGGTCTTCGCGGGCGAGCCGGCGACCCGCGGCCTGGGTAGAGAGACGGATAGAGAGGGGTTCAGCTTGTTGTTTGGGTGGTTAAGGGCTGAGGGTTTGGGGATTAGGGTTTCGGGTTTCAGGGTAAGGGTTTAGTGGCATTAGGATCTTGTTGATACAGAACTTCCGGAAGGGCCTGTACTCTGTCGAAGTTCATCTGCCCGCTGCTAATCGGTTCCCTTCCTTGGAAGAATTCTATGTCTCAGTCTCCGGCACTGTATGTGCATGCGAGTGTGTCTCTGCCCGCCTGCGCGTCTGCTGCCCCTTCCGCGCCTGTAAGTTTGCTTGTATTGCGCGAGTACATTCACGTCAAGACAGTGGATTTCGGCAGGAGGCACCTTGAGGGCCCCTGCTTACTGCCTTGAGAAGATGAGATGATATCATCAAGCTCCTCTGCTCCTCAGCCTTGCGGACATGCGCGAGGAAATGTGTAAGGAACGAAGCCGCCACAGCTTGGGCATTGGAGTTAAGCGAACAAGCAAGCACGAAGGGACACTTACCATGCATGCAAGAATATGCGGCGTATGGTGGCAGTGTTGAGGGAGGGAGCGAGCGAGAGAGAAACCTACAAAAACCAACAGACAACATGTCAAAACAAACAACAACCCCAGAGAGCCTTGTTGCAGGACTATAGCCTTGCAGGTTTTAGATTGTAGACGGTGGGATGCTGAGATGAAGGGCTGAGACTTCGGGTCATATGTGTGTTTTGATTGAAGGGCAGCATCACGAAGCCTTGCATTTCTGGTGAAGACTTAGTATAGGCGCTCCCCGGCTCTGCATGACTTACGATAGGCCTTGACAAACCCATCGCCTCTGGACAGTTGCAAACTATATACCGTCTGAGTAAGGACTTTCAACGACATTCTTATCCAACTGTCCAACTCAACAGTCTGCTAATGCCAAGCTGCCGAGCTTGCGCTGCTCGTGGCTTGGTATGTGCCGCAGGATCGGGCGCGGGAGGTTTCGATTTCTGGGATGGATCGGTCTCCGCCTCCGTCATCGGAACCGTCCCCGTGCTCGGCTCCTCAGATCACAGTTGCTACGTTGGCGGACGGAATACCTGTCTGCGCTTCCCCTAGGCCCTAGGCCACGAATTAGCACAGGCCCTTTGCCGGCTGCACTGCATATAAGGAGCCGTTGCAGGGCTGCTGCGCACAGCGGCGTCGGCAGCTTCCGAGATGCCTTTTAGCACATGGTACTATATTATAATGCAGTATTATGGTATAGTCTATTACAGTACATTATAGTTATTATCACAAGCTCAAGTACTGTATGATATTATCGTACAGTCGTACACTATGCGTATAATGAAGACGCCCGGTGTAACATGTCGACAATCATAACAGCTTAGAGTAGAGCACTGCAACGAGCCTCTCACCTGAGCCTGGCCAGTTTGCCAACATCGAGTTTGAAGTAAAAGGCTCACAGGTGTGGAATGCACAGCACCCTTTGTGCTCTGTGGTAAGAAGATGATCAAAGCGCAAACAGCAGGACTAGCAACATAAAACATCAAGCATCCGGGTGTCGTGCTGTGTTACCATAGACCCTTTTTTTGGAGGAGGGGCTGCAGTGCACGTGCCCTCATGCCCTAAACTCTGAATGCCAACCCTTTTGCCCCCATGCCCAGCCCCCCCGCACTCGCGGCGGCAGAAGCCTGCTCTGAGCTCTACATCTACTCTAGACCCAAAATCACTAAACCCTAGGCTCCGACGCACAATCCTATACACCCTAAGCCTTAACAATTCCAATTACGACTGGGCACTTGGAAGATCTGCTCCTGTCGACGGAGAACTCGTCGGCCTCAAGGGCAACCCCTAATTTTGGGTGATAACGGATTTTGATGGGGCTTGCGTAGACATTTTCTGAGTTGTGTACAGCTCGGGTTTTAGTGGGTGCTGTGGTGCCGTAATGACTTTGTTTGACGAGGCTCTCTCTCTCTCTCGCAGTGGTTCTCTCGTCTTGCGGTTTGCATATCGCTCGCTCGCTTGCACCGGGATCGGGGACAGAGATGCCGTGGGCGAACGTGCACGCTGTGCCAGCCAACACAGAAGCATGTATTGCCGTGCGGTCCCCATCACGCTCCGTCTTCCGCGAGCTGCATGACAAGGTAGCACCACGGAGATGGGCCTTTTGTTCACCGAGTGGCCACACATGTCTGGAACCCTTTCGAACGCGGACCCTAAACCCCTAAACCTAAACTCTAAATGGTGTGAACAACTTAAAAAATGACGGTGCGCCAGTTTAGAGTTTTTCGGTAGTTTGGCGGCCAACCCCAAGAGGTGCGGCCTACTCCAACCTCGCGAGAACGTGTAGAACACATGATCACTGCAATGTAGGGGCCCTAATAATTAGAATAGGGCTCCTTTGCAGGGATCCTGAAAGGGTTCGAAAGGGAACTATGATGGGCGACCGCGGCGACCATAATCGGGGCCTGAATAATCAGAATGGGGTTTTGGGGCCCATTATAGTATATGTATAATAAGGAACCCCCAAAATAATATTGGTAATTATTTAGGCTCCTATGGTACTCGTTCACTGCACTTCTTTCTGTTTCTGACAACCGATCCACACAGCCGGTAGGCCTGCCTGTAGCTTGCTTCCTCCGGTTCTGTTGTGTCACAACCAACCCACCCATGAGGCCATGAGGCAGACTTGCCCTTACAAGTTGTCTAAAAGCTGCCGGCGACGGCTACTCACATCTGTCTGAACAAGACATCTCTGTTCTCGCTAAGTCGCTGAGCTCGGGCTGCCTGTGGCTTGGTATGCGCCGCATCGGAAGGACCGGATGAGGATGCTTCCGACATCTGGGATGGATCGGTCGGCACCTCCATCGGAACCGTCTCCGGGCTTCCGGTGTGCGGTGGTGGGGAAGTTCCCGGGCGCTCTGCTGGTCCGAGGCTGCCTGTGTGTGGTGGGCCAGGTGCGCCGGTGGCTTCTGCGGAGCTCTGGCCAGGCACCGGCTGCTTGCTCGGTTCCTTGGGTCGCTCGGGCTTCTTCATGTTGGCCCACCGAGCAGAATCCCTTACCGCAACAAGCCCTTCCCGACTGCATTGCATGACAGAAGCTGCGGCTGGGCTGGTGCGTACAGCGTTGCCAGGATTTTCCAAGGTTCCTGGAACGGGAAAGGACGCAGGTAATTAAATCTCCGCTTGTTAGATACCAGTGGGCACTGATACGAGCAAAGAATCAGTCAGTCACGATTGCACATGCGAAATTTCGCAGTCTTAAGCCACAGAATTGTCAGCTTGAGGATATATTCGTCAAACACTTGCTACCGCGTGTGTAGTTGGATCTCTACTGCGCTTCCTGCGGGACTCCTTTCGTGTTTGCTTGCGACGTGTGTTCGTCTATTTGTATACATATACATATACATACATATATGAGCCGGCGTCAAAATTATTTGTTTGTTGTGCTAGGCTCGTTTTGGGGTTAGGGCGTCCGATATCGTTTTACAGTGAATGCAACTTCTAGCATACTGGAGCAAATCAGACACT